CGCTCTTGAAGCAACCGTCTGCGGCCCACATGACCATCCACTACCATGGCTTTTAACTATGGCTTATACAACTAGCTGGCGCTACAACCACCATCTTCAACAAACTTTTGCCTCCATAGCAATTGAATACGTCCCTTGCTGCTCGTTATTACCATGAACTACATTCATTAGAGTCAAACTACGACAATTGTCGTTGAATTATTGATGTATTTTTATTATAATCAACTTAATAAGTTCATCTTTCCTAATTTGAAATAAGAGCGGACATGTTTACTCAACATTCTTAGTGAATTGTTTTAATTGGGCAAAACCCTATGATTTTTTCTTTTTTCCAAAGTTTTCCACATAAAAATTAGAGGCATCTCTTTGTACTTATCTTTAATTGTCTGAGTATGTGTTAGATTTTTGTGCAACGCTGTGATGATAATTCATTACTCTGCAGCAGCGGACCTTTCAACACATATCAAGAAGTTCTCAAGCTTCAATCTTGTGATTTATCTCTCTATTTTGTAATCTCTTTTACATGAACACCTAAAAATCGAATTTGCTCATCTTATTGTCTTTTATTTCCATATAAGATCCTACATCTGCCCTCATCTTCTTGTTCACTTCATTCCCTAAGCCGACTCCTCTCTTTTGTAGCGCGATACAGAAGTGACTCATCTCCCCTTCGCTCTACTCTTATGAGGCGTTTAGTTTGAGGATTCCGTATTTGATGGGGGTATAATATTGGCCTGAAATGCATTTGGAATTGAATTATTCATACTTCCCGGTTCATTTGTTGTAGAAGCCTTTCTTTTTTAGGATTCAAGGAATAGGTGTGGGAAACTTGGAACTGGAACTTCAGCCCTCTTCCATAACCATTTTATCCACCCTTGCCAACGCTCACCTCAATCCTATCTTGGAGCACTGGGGTGCTAATAAGCCTTATAGGATGTCTTCAACTTTTTTTTTGGCACAACACCACCACCACCGCCAGGATGGATTAAAGTGAATATCGACGAAGCATTACTTTCAACTGGGGCGGCTGGCATTGGAGTCATTATCCGAAATGAAATGGGTGAGAGAGGAAACGTTTCCATTGGCACAATGCACGAGTGGAAATGCTGGCAATCTCCTATCTCCAATGGCCTTTAGAGGAATGGATGACTAAATGTCTGTGTTATTATCGAAAGTGACAATGCCAACGTTATAGACTTTTTTCAGAACATTATGTAGAAACGAAAGTGGTGGAGTGCTATCCCCGATAATCTAAATCTTGACTTTTTATGCAGTTTCAAACAGGTAATCTTCAAACACACTTTCAGGAGCAACAAAAAAGCTGCTTATACATGCGCTGACATGGCTATTAATGGCGATTTTGTTTTGACACATTAATGATTCTGATACTCTTTTTTTTTTTTTTTCCCTTTTGTTCGTGTCCACAGGACATAAGTTTTACACCTTTTTATAACCTTTTATTTTATTAATGCAATTTGCACCTTATCCTTTAATGGTAGTACCATATTATGAGCTAATAAGTTTACAGATTGGCTGCAATTCTTTTAGCGTAGTTGCTTCAGTAGTGGTCTTCTTCAATAACGCCATGTTTTTCATGTTTAACCGAATAAAAAACTTTTTTAGGTGTATATTTTTTAAAATTTTGCAATAGAAATGATTTTTTTTTTTCAATTGGAAAGGGCGGCAGGTCTGCAGGATTTGTTCAGGAACTTATCATAATTCTTGGCTAACCTTTTTCCTTTTCTTTCAGTTTCAGAATTTCTTCATTTGGGTATCGAAGTGTATAAAGATACTTCTGCCTGAACCAACTGATCAAATTCAGCAACCCAATAGGTTTAATTCAGATGATTTTCTTATATATTGTTGGCCTGTTAGGGATTACTTTATGTACGTTTAATGTTGGTTCTTTATTTCTTACAGTGAACTTGTTGTCCTATTCTTGAAGTATATTTTTGATCACGACCCGGTTGGACAGTTTCTTGAGAGTTCAGATGGAAACCGTGGCATTGCAGCTAATCCGTATGCTCCTTAGCAGTTGGCATAAATTCTGTTATCTGCTTTGAAGAATTACAACTTTGCTCCTTTGATGTTTATTTTCTAGGTTTTTCTTTAATCTCGTGATTTTCTTATGATATATATTATCTGCATTTCTATCCTAGGTCGCTTAAGAGCCCTTGATAAATTTTTGAACCATTTTGTAATTCAAAATTAGAATCTTATATTTCAAGTTTTATTTTTATTATCATTTTAGATAAAATAGTGTAGACCGTCATATAAATTCAAAATTAGAATCTTATATTTCAAGTTTTATCATTTTAGATAAAATAGTGTAGACCGTCATATTCTCTCCACTTGGCGACGTGTTTATGGTCAAATGCTTCAGAAACTGCAAGCAACGGTCATCATATCACACAAGTTGGTGTCGAGACGCTTCACATTAGAGGGAATCAATTAGCAATTGCTTGTTTCTTAAAATAGAATCCGTCAGTGAATATGGGATGTTGAATTGCTTAATGGAAACCACTTCGGGAAAGGTGACGGACAATAGATGTGAGACTTTGCATGAATTCAGTCCACATCATCTCAGCACATATTCAATTTCCCAAAATCCCTCAACAAAGCATTAACAGTCGCACCGAAACCAGCTCCCCTCTCTCTCTTTTCACTTGAACAGCCAAATAAACTCTTCAACTACAAACTAAAGGACAAAATTGAGACTTAAAGTTGTTATGTAAATTATCTCAAAAGAATGAAGCGGAATACAAAGTAGACCTGCATGAGACTTACAGGGAAATGGTTTATAAATCTTCTCTGTATGTTTTTTCCTGAAATTTTTGCTTTAACTGCATTTATAGGTGTGTCCTTGTCATACTCCATCATCTGAACTGACAGAAAACTAGTGAATTCAATGCCTTGACCATTTTAATTAGTCTATTCAGATGGCTTTCAAACTTTTCGCCGAGCAAAACAAAGGGAATATGAATCCTATTCATTGCAGAAAGCGTTGTATAATTTGTTGCATGGATTTTATATTTTTTTGCATATCAAACTACCCTTTTGCGGTGTAGATAAGGATTTGCATAGGTTAAGGGCAAGGGTTTTTTGGAATGACTTCACGCATCTTATTAGCCTCATTCTACTCGGGTTTGGAAAAATCTTCAATGTCATAATTTTTTTGAGTTTTTTCCAATGACGGTTGCAAACTAAATCTTTATTTCTTTCATCTATTCATCAACAAAATAAAGGATTACAAGGTTTTGATATAACTTTGGGCTCAAATTTAACAAACCTCTGCCTTTGATATGAGCGAATCATAAAGAACATGAGAAGTAAATAAAATTTGACCATATAATCAAGCCAACCTATTGTCTTGGATTAATGCACTCATTTGCCACCATAAATATTAACAGATCCAACATACTGCAAACATTTGAATGAGTAGTACCTTTGAATACTAGTAAAAGAAATATAGAGAAAAAAAATGCTAAACAGTCTTGTGCTGAAAGATCTTTGCTTTGACATTGGCGTATTAGTTTGCTGATTTAAATCATTTCTTGCATAATATTTTATTGAAGTGGTTAATCTTCATTTATTCTGATTCAGAAAAACGCTAGGATTTTAAATATATGCCATGTTTCATCATTTCATTATAGAAGAGAATATCAGTCTCTTTGCAAAACTGGTTATTTTTATCTTTGTTCAACTATTTTATAACAGTGCCGTATCAATTTTGTAAGCTTGAAAATTTTCCAGTAGAAATGAGTGAGATAATCGGGACAACCTTCAAAGTTTAACAGCTGAACTATTTTTTCTTTTTTATTTAATGCATTATTTTCAGTGATAGTGGACTCTCCTAGCAAGCTTTTTTTTTTCTTTTGGTAGTGACACAACTAAACAAATTGAAGAACTTGTGGCATTTGGAGGGTTCTCGGACACTGGATTCTTGGAAAGAACTTTGTCCATGGAATTTAATCAATTGGAACAGTGGTAAGGATATTCCTTTAATGTTCAAATGAAAGAAATTTGTTTTTATGTGCGTGTGAGTGTGCATGTGTATCGATTCTATGTTTTTCCACTGAAATGTAACTGATGTGGTTGAGCAGGGTCCTGATGAAGTATAAATTTTCTTCTTGAGTCTTTTATTTCACTTTTTTTAGCAAAGTCAAGTCATGAAACCCATTTAATTCAGTGTTTCATTTTTTCATATTATGTCTAGTTTATTGACCATCTTTTGAGAATTATATGTTTGCCATCCATCTTTTCTTTGTTCAGTTTTATCTCTCCTGGTTGAACAGACTTTTTCACCGTTTATTGCTCATTTGCTACCATATTCCACTGTGAAAGATGATCGCTTTTTGTAAGTAATGTCCAACACATGTATGAGAACCAAAAGGAAAATTCTTTGGCCAAACTTTTCTTATCATTTTATTTTTTTGCATATCATGGAATATCTTGTATTCAATGGAAGATTTCTAATCGTGGATTTAGGAATAATAAGCAGCACTCTAAGGCATTTTAGAGAGCTACTACCAATGCATGCCAACTTTTTTAACTCTTACCATTGTATGCCCGCTTGTTTAGATTACAACTTCCTTTTAGAAAGAGGAGATCCATCGAATGCTTACTTAATTTTCTTTTATTCATCTTACCTTTTATTCAATGCTCAGCTCAGTCAATTAGGACATGGGATCGACTTTTTTTTTAGAGAAGTCCAAATTTTCTGAAATTTGTGAAGGTCTTGATAGCTTAATGAAGTAACCTGAAAAGAAGAAGCAGCTTTGCGTTGGAGTTCTTATTGATATTAGGATTCGACTTTGTAGTAATTCAGAATTTTAATAATGCATTAGATTTTTCTAGAGAGAAAGAAAGAGTTGCAAGAAAGGCTGTAGTTAATGATATTTAAAGAGTGAAGGGGAGGGCAGGGATGTTGGGTGGTATGAGACTTGACGAGGCATTTTTTGTTGAAGGGAGAATGTATAGAGGCGGTTCTGCTGTTTGGCTTATGGGAAGAAGAATAGATTGATATAGAGAACCTAAAGGAATTTGGATTTAGAAGTGGGAAATTTTGGGATAGTGATTTTGAATAGGGTTTGTGGTGTTTATATTATATATAAAGAGGTGTTTGCTATAGTTTGAGAGAAACGTTGGAGAGTTATTTAGTTTTGCTAGATAAGGGGAGACTGAAACGAGGGAATGGGACTTTAGATATGATGAAGGGGCATAAATAGTTATAGGTGAAAGAAAGGGAGAGCATTTGATGCCTGTTAGAGATGATGTTTTTCAAAATGGAAGTGATGATTGAATAAATGGGAGAAAATTATCCAAAATGGAGTGCTAAGTCTTTGTGAGTATGGGTCCCGTCCAACAAAAATTATGCAGCCATTTCACATTGATCAATGGATGTACGCATGTTTTCATTCATACGTCCATATAAAGTATGTTAACATTACCAGAAATTTGATTCTATCTAGCACTTATATCATTTTCGAATTGAGTTGGGCTACATTTGTTAATCAGCTCATTGACTTCAATTAGAGCTCCATTCGAAGAAAAAATTGATCTAATTTTGGATTCAAATTCACAGCCCTGTAAACAACAGCTGAAAAGGACCTTATGATGATGATCATGGTTGTTTTATTATTATTATTATGAGTAAAGTGTCAAAATGGTCCCCAACTATTTATATGGGGCAATTTTAATCCCTGAGTTTATAGAAGTGCCAAAATAGTCCCCAAACTCTTTAAATTGAAGCTGAAATAGTTTCTATGAAGGACATTTAAAGCTCAATTTTAAAATAATTAGGGATTATTTTGGCACTGGATAAACTCTAGGACTAAAACAACCCCATGTAAATATTCAGGAACTATTTTAGCACTTTACTCTTATTATTATTATTATTATTATTATTATTTGTAAGAATATTGTTTTACAAATAGGATTATGAAAAATATCTATCAAACTTACACAAATGAACAATGCTTTCCTTGATTGTTGAGGCCTTTTATGATTTTTTTTGTCGTTTAGTTTTTTTTTTAATGACTTAGTTCAACTCATATTTTAAAACTTTTTGAATTCTGAGCTCAAGGGATGTTTCATGTTTTGTTCACTTGTATCTGTACATTCATTTAGTTAAACAAACTTTTATGTTTGCTATGAATTGGATATCCATGACTAGTTTGATTCTCAAGTAAATGAAAATCTTTGCATTCATTCTCCAAATGATTTCCAATTAATCAGAGCTACATTTGTTAATCAGCTCATTGACTTCAATTAGAGCTCCATTCGAAGAAAAAATTGATCTAATTTTGGATTCAAATTCACAGCCCTGTAAACAACAGCTGAAAAGGACCTTATGATGATGATCATGGTTGTTTTATTATTATTATTATGAGTAAAGTGTTTTATGAGTAAAGTGCCAAAATGGTCTCCAACTATTTATATGGGGCTATTTTAATCCTTGAGTTTATAGAGATGCCAAAATAGTCCCCAAACTCTTTAAATTGGAGCTGAAATAGTTTCTATGAAGGACATTTAAAGCTCAATCTTAAAATAATTAGGGATTATTTTGGCACTGGATAAACTCTAGGACTAAAACAGCCCCATGTAAATATTCAAGAACTATTTTGGCACTTTACTCTTATTATTATTATTATTATTATTATTATTTGTAAGAATATTGTTTTACAAATAGGATTATGAAAAATATCAATCAAACTTACACAAATGAACAATGCTTTCCTTGATTGTTGAGGCCTTTTATGATTTTTTTTTTTTTCGTTTAATTTTTTTTGAAATGACTTAGTTCAACTCATTTTTTACGGCTTTTTGAATTCTGAGCTCAAGGGATGTTTCATCTTTTGTTCATTTGTATCTGTAAATTCATTTAGTTAAACAAACTTTTATGTTTGCTATGAATTGAATATTCATGACTAGTTTGATTCTCAAGTAAATGAAAATCTTTGCACTCATTCTCCAAATGATTTCCAATTAATCGGAGCGTTCATCTCCTTATAACTTTTGGTTTAAACTTCTGTTGCATCTTCTATTCAGCTTTAAGGAGGCTTTCTTCATGCCATTTTCTACCGTGTCCAAGAAGATATATTGTGAAGACTTTCTGCCACTATATCCTTCCCCTACATCTACAACTTCAATATTGAACGCGCCTACGTCAGTTTCTTATTATAAGGTGATTCTTTCTTGGTTTTTCACACTTTCCTTCAAAAAAAAGAAGGCCTGGTAGTTCCTGTGAATGCTCTAGTGGAATTGATAGTATATAGAAAATGTTGCGTACTTATATTATCATGGACAAGAACATTGGTTAGCATCTGTGGATTTTATGATCTCTGCACAAAATATTTTGTTGTGGAGCAAAATTATCATGGCTGAAACTAACATGCGTCAGTGTGTTCTTTAAAGAAATGAAGATTTAAGAAAAAAAGGGAAACTTAAATATTTCCATATTATCATTGCCTTCTTGGATATTACTCATGTAACTTGGCGATGTGTGTCCTTCTATTGTGATGACTCACTTCAAGCCTTAATATATCAATAACTTGGAGCAATGCTTAACTATCCTCCCTTTTGATTTGGCGTTCTAGGGGTAAAGTTGCATAAATCCACTTCTTTCCAGACTAACACACATGCATACTTGCTAACTAGCGTGTGCTTAAAGGTAGTACTTAATATAGTGTAATTTATGGCTGAAAGGAAGTATTTAGACAATCATCTTCTTCATCTCGGCACATTCATTCCTCTACCTTGGTTCCAGGGTCTCCTCTCCTGTTTTATATTAGTAATCACTCTTTCTCTTTTCATTCCCTCTCTTTTTTGGTTTTATTGTTTTCCTTGTTTTCTTGCCTTCCCTTTCGTACATTGTTTTTTTAACTACATACTTCACATTACTTAATGTAAGATCTGGATGTCCTGTACCCAAAGATTTTACATCATCCATTCTTTCTGGGTGATTTTTGCATGAAGTATTCCACTTATTCTGCATAAATCTTCTTGAAAAACATTGTTTTGTGTATTCTACGTGGCTTAGCCCTGCTTTTTATTTTTTTTACCTTATCATCAAATGTTCTTTCTACAACTTTCTCTTTGACATAATTATTCTCAATTTATCATTCTTAGTCTGCTAACTATCCATCTTAATATTCACATTTTTACTACGCTCAACTTTAGTATCTGTGATTTCTTACAATATAACTAATTACAATTCACTTTAAATTTATTTTTAATTCTCTTGATGTTTCTTATTGCATGATGTTCATGAAGTATTTCTTCAATTCTTTTAAAAATTATATCTTAATCAATTTTCACATTATTTGGTATATCCAATATACTTAAATTTATGGTACCCATGTATAATTAATTTTTATATAATATTGACCAATAATTATTATTGTTATATGTACTTAAATTGCATGTTCAATAAACTTTTTTTTTTTACTAATTTAAGCTTTGTATGTTCTAAACATTTTTTTTTTCTTTTTCCTTTCTTCAAGAACGTCTTGCTATTTGGGAATACCTTCTACATAAATTATACAAGTTACCTTCATCTATATCCTTTGTCCGTGTCGCTATAACTACAACCGAGAAATTATATGAACATAATATTGTTCTTGATATAATCCAACTATTGAGTAACTCTGCAAATACTTTTAATACTAATCAGTTTTTTATCATATGAATCTAAGTAACTTTAATGTTCCTTTTGCTGGAAACTTTCTTACATAATGCTCACGGAGTCAATTCTTGTGATATTCAAATCTTATGCCTTGTTAAAATTAATATAAATAGAATAAAAATTGTGTATCTACTTTAGTAAAATTTCATTAATTGTTTTGACCAAAAAAATTACCCACTTGGTAAATTTCGCAAAAATAATATTACAATCTTTTTTTCCAAAAAATTTTGACTATCTTTTTAGTTCATGGTCCATTTTTTTCTCTTATAATTTTGTAATGTGAATCACAAGTTTTATTTCCCTATATTTATGTAATCATTAATATTTTTAAAATACATCTTTTCCAATTATGTCGCATCCTCTTATTCTTTTTAATTTTTTGAAAAATTTTATGAATTGAAACATTGTAATATCACACATAGTTCTCCACTCTAGAAAATTATTTCATCTAAAACTCCATCTTCATCAAAGCTAACTCTACTTCATATACTTCACCAACTGCATTTCCAGCTTTACTGGGGTGATAGGATTGTAATATAATTCATCAAAGCTAACTCCTGCCAAATATCTTAAAAAGTTATGTATAAAATATGGCTTTTTACTTTTTTGACATCAAAAAGATTTGGTTGGGTCAGTGAAACATGCTATATGTCCATTTGGTTTCAGAAGAAGCCCTTGAGTAAATCCAAATATACCTCTTACAAAAATGAACCATACAACCTTAGTTTACATTCACATGGCTAGTTGGTGTAACTGTTGGGCTAGTCAAGGTTCTAAATATATCCAATTGTATGAGTCATCTATCTTGGTGGTGTATCCTCGTGGACAATATTTAAAAGTGGCGTAGCTTGCTTTTCATAGCTTATTTACGAACTACCAGCCTCTGCTTCTTGAAGATCATGTTTTGCTTATTTTATTATGGCATTTTTGTTCAATAGTAGAGATTTTTTTGCTATTCAATCAATTTATCTCCACTACTCTGAGGACACATTGTATTCTTTCTTGAGATGATATTACTTCTACTGTAGGGTGATTTTAGTTATGTAACCAATCGTGAGACTTCTCAGCCGTGCCTATTGGACTATATATGTTTTAGAATACCAGATGAATTGTTAGATTCGGCCAATTGCATTGGTATACTGAAGGGTTTAACGTGCCACTCAAGCTCAACTGACAAAGGGCCAACATCCATTGCAGCTGTTTTATTACGTATTCCTGAAGGATTTCAGTGTGTTGATTTGTCTTTATATAAGGTAACATGCAAGTTCTTAAATTCTGATTTCGTATGGAGTTCTAGTCTTTCAAACCTCTCTCTTTGTTGCTGCTAGGAAAACCAGCTCATTCTATTGCTGACCGAGTCAACCTCTTCTTCTGAGAATCCTGGACAATCATGGATGATGATGCTTCAAATGAGTATTCTTCCCTTCACATCAATTTCAAGAGCATCACTTGGAAATCTCTGGAGCTTGCATGAGTTAAAGGTACCGCAATGCATGTCATTTAAAATAAAGTGGATGCCAAAGACATCATGAGCTTTCTTCATCCTATTTATTGTGATCTTTACTTTGTTTCTTGCTTTTGTGGATGAATGAGATAATCAGTGTTACCTATTCAGTTTGACTTTTGATTTATCAGTTCTCATATTTAAATGTGAGGAAGGTTATCAGGTATTGTATATTGGAAAGCTTCACAATAAAAATGGGGGTGGATAGTAGTAGATAAATATTTCACATATAAAAAATTATTGAAATCAATAGAATTAGTGATAGTGTGATCGCTATTTTGAGTTGAGAAATGTTGGTTTAATTACAATTTTTTTCATTATAATTTTGAAGGCTAAAAGAATGACTAGTGATTGGAGAAGCATCATTTTGGTATAAATATTTAAAAACAGACTAGTTGTTTAAAATTATGGTGATTATAAAGGAATCAAACTGTTGAGTCTTAAAATGAAGTTATGAGATAATAATGGAATATATAATCAAAAGTATTGTTAAGCGGGTAGCGCATGAAATAAAAGTTATAAGTTTTATTGATTTATATAATGTACTCGGTAATAAGAAAGTATAAAAGATGGCTTAAAAAATTTCTGATATAAGAGAATATATTTAAGAATTTTATTTAATTAACTGCATTAAAATTGAAGATAATATGATTTTAGTAAAGATACATGAAAAAGATGAAAATTTTACTTTGAAAATTTCTAAATAAGTTTTTAAAGATTAAATTGTTTTAAAAGAGTATAATGAATAATAAGTTGAAATAAATTTTACTTGAAAAAATGCATTAAGAAAATATTTTAGCTCCAGATAAGGTACTTGTTGAGATTTGTGTTACAGGGAATTTTTTAATGATTTTAATGAAATTTTGAAGAATGGAGGAATTAATGATCGTCGGAGAAGCATTTTGGAGCAAATATTTAAAAATAAAGATAATGTTCAAAATTGTGTAAATTATAAAGGAATTACACTTATGAATCGTATAATAAAAGTTTTTGGTGCGAGTAATAGAACATGGACTTACAAAAAAAATACATCGATAATGAATTTGGTTTCATTCTAAGATCTTTTGTAGCGGATATTTTTGTACTAAAACATATAATGTAGAATTATATAGAACAAAAGATATGCTATATATATATAGATTTATTTAAAAGACATGATTGAATATTATGATAATTTATTTCATGTGTTTTAAGTGTCTCTAGGACATGTTAAAATTTTTAAAGATATATATAATGGAGCATTGACAAGTATTAAAAATAGTTTTGTAGCAATTCAAGATTTTGTTAGTTGCCATATATTTACATTACGGATCAGCATTAAGCCATATCTTTTGTATTGGTTATAGAGAAATTTATAAATAAGATTAAAAACTAGGTACCTTTGTATATATGTTTTATGGATACTATAGTTTTAATTAATAAGACATCCATTGAAGTCAAGGAAAAATTAAATTGATGAAAGAAGTATTTATTGGAAAAAGGCCCTAGAATTAGTAGAAAAAAGACTGGGCATATAATATATATAATTTAGTTGGCAAAATATTAATAATTATCATTATGTTTTGTTAAAAGATAAGATGATATATTGGTGTCTTAGGTTTTACTTGGATTTATCATATAGAAGAATTGAGATATAGATCAAGTGCGGGCGGATCACACATTGAAGATGGGTAGAATCAAGGTTGTTGGTGGTCTGCTTGTTGCGGTTGGATGGAATAAGGAATGCTTGCATGATGAGGAATACAATCGGAGATTACATTGCCCCACATCACATCTCGCATATAATCGGGATAAGGCTAATTATGATTATGTTGGAGTTGACAAAGCCATGCTTGATTTGATTGTTTAATAACACTTGTTATTTGCTGCAGCCTTTTTTTTTTGGGGTTAAATGCTGATTTTTTTTTTTTCTTTTTTCTTCTGTTGCACTCTAGGGTTCTGCTGTGGAGTTGAACTTGAGCAGAGGTAAAGTTCGTTGCATTCCTCACATGGTGACTGCCCCGTTGGCTGTGAGTGGTAAGTCTGTCCATTTTAAGTGCAACTTCCTTTCTCTTTGTTTTTCGCTATTATGCCTCTTGTTTTCAATTCAATGTTTCTGCTTTTACAAAGTAAGCATAGATTGTAAAGTTGCATCCATTCTTGTGAACTAAAGTATCAACCATCAGAACCGCTAAAATTTTAATCTTCAATTACTGTGACCCTCGTGATTCTTAGGTTTTTAACTGTTTATTATGGTAGTCATAGTATTATGACATTTACACTCATCCAAAGTGTCATCCAAAGTGTCATCCAAAGTATCATCCAAAGCATCATCCAAATATTATTATGGTAGTCATACTATTCCGACATTTACAATAATCCAAAATATCATCGAAACATTTAAGAGTCACTAAACATCAACCTTTCTAAATATTTTTTAAAAAATGAAACTATCCAGTTTGCAATAACAATTTTTTATGAAATTTGAACCATTTCATTCTACTTGAGGGGTTTCGCACCTTAGAACCATGTAATCAATCAAAGAACATTCTCTTGTCATTATAGATGATAACTATAGCATAATCATTCATGTTATTTATCCAGTATCCTTCAGTAGGATTTTAAGCCGTTTAAGTTTTAAAATGATTCAAACTCAACATTTCACTGCTTTAGTTTGTATCTGTTGATGATGCTGTATGATAGTTTTTAAGTAATTATGATTCACCATTTTCTCCCTTTTTGTGTACTGCTCCCATTCATTTTTCTTTTCTTTTTTTTTTTTTTTTTTTCATGAGAGGCACGTCCCCCCGAACTTGAGTTTTGACAGCTTTAGTTTGATTGATCAAATCCAGATAAATTCAAAAGTGACCGGACTTCAACTCATCACAAGTTTATGGAATCAAATTTGATGTCTTAAGTTGTGTGAATCATCATAGCAAATTGGTGCACAAAAATCAAAGTGACAATTGGCTAATTATTTAAGCTTTAGCCATAAATTAGCTAAATTTGTAGTCTTGCAAACTTCAGATAAAAATAATAATAAAAGAAAAAAAGAGAAATTAAGCCAACTAATTCCCGCATTAGTTGTTTCCACGTTATAAGAAGGGAAGGAGATGGAGACAAACTGTAGGTATGAATAACAAAGAGCGAACGAGAAAGGGAGATAAAGGGATAGGATGCCTGTGTTCAAATAACCAAAGAACGGGAAAATGAGAGATTAAGCAAGCTGGGATACAAACCAAGAGCGAGAGAGCAGAAATCATGATTGGAGGGAGGAGGGGCTACATTGACTTGTGCGGCGCATTCAAATTCGTGAGATCGACATGATGATAAATCTTGAGCAGCGAACGATACATATATATTGAATGGGTGACGTTTTGAGCAGGGTTGTCAAGCAGCTAGGCAAGATGAAGTGAGAGCCATAGTCATATGAGAAGTAGATTTAGGGCATTCGAGCATTGCCATAAAGTCGTGGGGGAGGTGGAAGGTTGGCTGCCGAGAGCTATCCACACAAAACACACAAAACTCAGTTAATTTTTTTCATTTAAGATTGTATTTTATTATAGCTTGTCTAAATGATTAAATTAATATGTTTAGTAAAGATTTTGTGTTATTTTATTTAAAATTAATGAAAAAAAATTAAGATTTAATTTATTTAAATAGAAGCTCTATTTTAAATTATAAATTTGTGCTTTTTTAAGTTTAAAACTGAAAATAATATATTCAATCATTAATGTAGTGCCAAGCAATAAATTAAATATTTCAATCATTAAATGACAACTTATATTTTTAGTAAAAAATTATTAATTTAAAATGATATGTACTAAAGAAATATATATAATTGGAGAAATTTTTGAAAATTTATTATTAATTAAATAGTTGTAAAGATATAAAAGGGACAATTTTTGAAGACTGTGTGGCAGAAGTATACGCTTAGTTATAGTGACATGATGAATATTTTGTTTGTTTTATATATATATATATATAT